GCAAGTTTTTTTTCCTATGGTAGAGGAGAAAACATTGAGTCTGTTTGCTGTTTCAGTTGGTGGGAGTTGGGGTTCATCCGGTTTTGTTAGTTTGATTGTTCTGTTTCCTGATATCTTTTTTGTTCCTAGAATTTCAGATAGGGTTTTCCAGGTTTTTTTTATATCACCTTTTAAGTTGGATAATCTGTTCTTATAATATAATTATTTTGCTCTTCTTTTCAGGCTGGTTAGGATTGATGAGTAACGTTTTGTTTGGTCTCTCGTTATGCGACCCATTCTATGCTGTTTTTCATATAGGCGCTTTATATTTATGGATTTTAGGATGCTAGGTGTTAGACAGGGATTGTTCAGTCTCTTAGCTGTCATCTGTTTGGTTTTTTTAGGGCAGTGCTTGTTAAAGAGGTACTGGGTCTTTCTTAGAAAATTATTAATACATTCGTCAGTATCTGTATAGGTTTCTAGCTCAGTTAGCAAGTTGATGTTTGTCATTGCTGTTGTGAAGTTATTAATGGCTGCCTTATTGTGTAGTCTGAAGGTTACTTTAGTAGTGTCTTGGAGTAATTTACCTAGACTGGTTATGAGAAAGGTAGGGTAGTGGTCTGTGCTATTATCTGTGATTATGCCTGATTTTTAAGGGGATATGGTATTGGTCCAGATGTGGTCTAATAGGGAAACACTAGCCTCTCTAATTCTTGTAGGTTTTGTTACTGTTGGTAGCAACAAGCAGTTACTCATAGTGTTCGTGAATTCAGTAACATGTGGGTCCTGGTCTTGTTGGAGATTTATATTGAAGTCACCTGAGAGCAGTAAGTGATCTTTATTCATGTGCACATCAGTTATCATACTTCCTAGGTTTTCACTAAAACAGCTAATGTTTGACTGTGGTACTCTGTAGATGTTTATCACTGAGAGGCTTTTGTAGGTATCTGGATATGAATTTAGCTATTATATATTCCCCATGTTCATCCCTTGTGCAAGTATTAGTGTTACATTCTAGTTGGTCTGAGTAGTTTATAGCTGTGCCACCTCCTTGTTGATCTGGCCTACAGTTGTGTATGGCTGTGTAATCAGGAATGGCATAGATGTCTTTCGGTGAGAGTAATGATGGACATATTGGCATGCAGGGAATTTAGTAATGCTGTGAGGTTATCGTAATGTTTGCTTAAAGATCTGACATTGAAGTTAAAGACAGTTATGTTGTTGGCTCTGAGAAGTGCCTTTGATTGTTCTGCTGTGTACTGTTTGATTCATTTAAGTCATTCAATAAGAGGTTGGTATCAGGATCAGTGCTTGTAATCATAAGATTTATAGTGGATCTGTAACTAGACTTAAGTACAAGACAAAGTAAATATTCTAAAGCTAAAAACAGCACCTGAATTATTTCAACAAATGTAAATATATGAATTAAGGTAGTTCTTTAAAGTTAAAATAAAGGAGGCAATACAAAAGGGACTAAAATAAGTAGTGGAGAACAAATAAAGCAGTAATCAAATAAGGGAGCAAGGGAATATAATATTAACCCTTTGACTGTCGCAACCCCCAATCCTGAGGTGTCTCCTGGTGTCGCAAAATTTCCAAAAAAAAAAAAAAAAATTATTTTTTCATATGAAATGATAGAGAATCTTTTCTCGTTTGTAATGACACAAAAAAACGAAATTTGATGGAAAACTGAGGGAATTATGCTCTCGCGAAGTTAGCGACCTCGGCGCTGTTTACAAATCGGCGATTTCGCCCACTTTGAGCCCTATTTTCGGCTAATTCCAATGTTCTAGTCGCCCAGACTCATAGCTATTTCTTTAGAACTCTATTTTTTCTATCGATTGAGTACAAGAAACTGCCCATTTACCGATTTCAACTACCTAATAATGTGGTCAGAAATTTGCAATTTGGACAATTTCACGAAAACTAAAAAATATGACAATTTCAAAATAAGGTCCAGAATGAACAATGCAGACATTCCTGGCTCTAAAATAACATTTTCTTTGCTCATCAGTCATGTCTCTAGGCCCCTCTGATATTACTCTTGCTTTCTATTTTGAATTTTTATTCAAACAAAAAATAGAAGACTTACTATTATGCAGACTACTGCAATACTGTAATAATTGTATAAATAACATCAACCCATTCATGACTGCATATTAGAATGGCTAGTTGGACATTTATTGGACAATGGCATGATTTGTTTACTTTTGAACATTGGCAAAAATCAAACATTTCCCCTACTTTGAGCTCCATTTCTAGGTTCTTTTTATAGTAAAATCAATCAAAATCACATCTATTTCTATAATATGTTTTCCATTCTATCAAATGAGACCAAGAAAACGAGAATACAACCATAAATACTATACGAAAATAGACCACAAAGTCGGCATTTTAATTAAAAAAAACGGTCGGAGTTTTTTTTTTCTCATTATGCACTGCGTGCTCCAGGATTTTTTTTATGTGGTGCACACTGACCACACAGACCCATTCTCTCACATGAGGCCTACCAGCTTTCTTCTGCTTGATTTGAAGCCGCTAGAATTTATGAGTATATATACGTCAAACACGGTACCTCGTAAGACGCATATATACGGCCGCGACAGTCAAAGGGTTAAAATAATGAATGTATTACACTTTAGTGCCTGAGAATAGCACCTTGATTATATTAACAACTGAGAATATATGAACTAAGGTAGTATTTAACCTTTTGCACTGTCCGCAAGCCTCTTCTGAATGTCATTCTAAGTCGCAAATTGAGGAGAAAAAAAAAAAAAAATTTTAAATGATAAAGAGTGTTTCCGATGTATGACGCAAAAGTAATGAAATTTGTGCCGAAAACTCTGGAATTACGCTCCTGCGAAAGTTTGTCAGTCTCCGCATATAATACCGAATGTGGGCAATTTCGCTGACTTTGCGCCCTTGTTTTTTGGCATATTCCATTGGTTCCCGTTGACCAACTCCATAGCATTTCTTAGAACTACATGTGTTTTCCTATCAATTGAGTACAAGAATCCGGCCCATTTACCGATTTGAACTACCCATACAAAGTTCAAAATTGGCAATTTGGCCAATTTCATGCAAAATTAAAAAATAGCCAATTTCAAAATAGGGTCCAGAATAACAATGTAGACATTCTTGGCCACTAAAATAACATATCCTCTGATTCATTAGTCACGTCCTCCTAGCCCCCTCTTATATTACTATACTTTCTAATTTGCTTTTTTATTCATACAAAAAGTAGAAGATTTACTGTTATGCAGACTACTGCATTAGTGTAAAAATGGTATAAATAATATCAGTGCACTAGTGATAAGATATCAGACTCCCCAGTTGATGTGTATGGGACATGTGGTGTGATCTGCTTACTCCTGAACATTGATAAAAATCGAATATTTCTGCTACTTTGAGCTCAATTTCAAGGTCGTTTTCATCGTGAAACTAATTAAAATCATCTCTATTTCTGTAATACGTTTTCCATTTTATCACGTGAGACCATGAAAATGAGAATACAACGATAAATACTGTACGAAAATACACCTCAAAGTCGGCGTTTCAATAAAAAAACAAAAAGTCATTTTTTTTTCTCATTATGCACTGTGTGCTGCAGGACTTTTTTTATGTGGTGCACACTGACCACACAGACCCATTCTCTCACATTTGGGCCTACCAGCTTTCTCCTGCTTGATTTGAAGCCGCTAGAATTTACGTGTATAAGTCCAAAACAGCGGCACGTAACACATATATATACGACCAAAACAGTCAAAGGCTTAATGCTAAAATAAAGGAGAAAATATACAAGGGACTAAACTAAGTAATGGTAAACAAAGTTAAATGGACAGATAGTCACTATGATATACTATTGATTTAGGAGTAAGATCTGACTTGTAATGTGTAATAAGTTTGAGCAATTAATAGCAGTATACAAAGTAAAAAAAAAAATATAAGGTAGTTGGTACTAGCTAGTAAATGATAGTTCTGGTAATTGCACAAAAATGTAATTGGTATATACACTAATTGCACCACACAATATAAACGGGACTGAAGTAAGTAGTGCTAAACAAAATTAAATGGACAGGTACAACAAATGAAGAACATAACTTAGGACTAAGAGTTGACTTTGCAACATAAAAAATTGAGCAATTAATAGCAAATTAAAATTAATAAAAGTATTTTGACGAAGCTGGTATTCAGCTAGTAAAAAAAAGAATGCACAATAATTTAATAGTAACGTAACTATCTTCACATACGTGAATATATGTGTAAGAGACACTTATCTGATCTGTTTGTTGTCTATTATGGAAATGTCAGCTTTGTAAGAGAAAGGGTAGAGAAAGGATGTTCATTGAAGTGGTATATGTTAACTGTCTTTTGGGTAATACATTGAATAAAACTTACTTACTTATTCATAAATTAAAATGTAATTCCACCTACAATCCGACTTAGACCTGCTCGACTTGGCACCACTCGACTTACGACCATGTTTTATTATGCCAAATAAACAACTATTTCGTGTTGTACACAGTGAGTATCCTATACCCTTACAGTATAGAAAATCAGTAACTAACAGCAAAGAAAGTAAAGTAAAACATGAAATACCAAAAATAAACAATAAAATAAAGCATTACAAAAATGTTCTTTGTTGATTTCAGTAGTAAAGTTAGACTTACAACGGTTTTTTCTCAGAACCGAACTCAGTCGTTAAGTCGGATGGTAGGTGTATTTCTTATTTATAAATTACATTCGTACACGTAATATTTGTGGATAGTGGTGATGGCAGAAGCCTCCACCACCATTAATACGTATGGGGTCTCTCAGTATCCATTATAAACCCAACAACAACACTTCCATCACTTATCCTCACATACATTATGACATATTTTATTCATTCTAGAGCATATATCATATTTCAATGTTATTAATATTGTTTATTATGTCATATTAGAAGAATTGTGATAGATAAATAAGCCATAGAGATATTAGCGTCATATTGAAGCATAATAAACTTGCCTTCCTCTCACCTCCTATATGTCTGCTACACTCCCAGCATGTCTGCTACACTCCCTGCTACACTCCCAGCATGTCTGCTACACTCCCAGCATGTCTGCTACACTCCCAGCATTCTGCAAAGGGTGGGGGGGGGGGGGGGGGGGGGGGGGGGGGGGGGGGGGGGGGGGGGGGGGGGGGGAGGGGGGGGGGGGGGGGGGGGGGATAAGGGGGGGGGGGGGGGGGGGGTGGGGGGGGGGGGCACTCCTGCCAGGCTAGCTACACTCCCCTGCATTGTTCTGCTACACTCCAAGCATTCCTGTTACACTCCCAGCTTGCTGCTACCTCCCCAGCATGCCTGCCTACACCCCAGCATCCTGCTACCTCCCTGCATGTCTGCTACACTCCCAGCATGCCTGCTACACTCCCAGCATGCCTGCTACACTCCCAGCATGCCTGCTACACTCCCAGCATGCCTGCTACACTCCCAGACACATGCCTGCTACACTCCCTGCATGTCTGCTACACTCCCAGCATGCCTGCTACACTCCCAGCATGCTGCTACACGCCCTGCATGCTGCATACCTCCCACATGCCTGCTACACTCCCAGCATGCCTGCTACACTTCCAGCATCCTGCTACACTCCCTACATGCCGGCTACCCTCCCATCATCTGCTACACTCCCCAGCATGCCTGCTACACTCCCTGCATGCCTGCTACAACCTCCAGCATGTCTGCTACACTCCCCAGGATTTCTGTGACACTTCCGCATGCTGCTACATTCCTTACATGCCCGCTACACTCCCAGCATGTCTGCTACACTCCCACTTTCTGCTACACTTCCTGCATGTCTGCTACATTCTCTGCATGCCTGCTACCTCCCGCATGCCTGCTACACTCCCGCATGCCTGCCTACACTCCCTGCATGCCTGGCTACACTCCCTGCATGTCGCTACACTCTCTACATCCTGCTACACACCAGTAATGCCTGCTACACTCCCAGCATGCCTGCTTACACCCCCAGCATGCCTGCTACACGCCCGGCATTCTGCTACACTCCCAGCATACCTCTACACTTCGCCAGGCCGCTACACTCCCTGCATGTCTGCTACTCTCCCAGCATGCCTGCTACACTCCCAGGCATGCCTTGCTACACTACACCACATGCCTAGCTACACTCCCAGCATGCATGCTAACACTCCAGCACGCCTGCTACACTCCCTTGCATGCCTGCTACACATCCAGCATGCCTGCTATCACTGTCCAGCATGCCTGCCTACACACCCTACATGCATGCTACACTCCCCACAGCATCCTGCACACTCCCTTGAGCATGTCCTGCTACACTCCCAGCATGCCTGCTACACTCCCAGCATGCCTGCTACACTTCCTGCATGTCTGCTACACTCCTAGCATGTCTGCTACACTCCCAGCATTTCTGTTACACTTCCTGCATGCCTGCTACATTCTCTACATGCCTGCTACACTCCCAGCATGCCTGCTACACACCCAGCATGTCTGCTACACTCCCAGCATTTCTGCTACACTTCCTGCATGCCTGCTACATTCTCTGCATACCTGCTACACTCCCTGCATGCCTGCTACACTCCCTGCATGCCTGTTACACTCCCTGCATGTCTGCTACACTCCCTACATGCCTGCTACACTCCCAGTATGCCTGCTACACTCCCAGCATGCCTGCTACACCCCCAGCATGCCTGCTACACTCCCTGCATGTCTGCTACACTCCCAGCATGCCTGCTACACTTCCAGCATGCCTGCTACACTCCCCTCTGTCTGCTACGACTCCCAGCATGCCTGCTACACTCCCAGCAGGCCTGCAACACTCCCAGCATGCCTGCTACACCTCCAGCATGCCGGCTACACTTCCAGCATGCCTGCTACACTCCCTACATGCGTGGTACACTCCCAGCATGCCTGCTACACTCCCAGCATGCCTGCTACACTCCCAGCATGCCTGCTACACTCCCTGCATGCCTGCTACACTCCCAGCATGCCTGCTACACTCCCAGCATGCTGAACACTTCCTGCATGTCTGCTACACTCCCAGCATGTCTGCTACACTCCCAGCATGTCTGTTACACTTCCTGCATGCCTGCTACATTCTCTACATGTCTGCTACACTCCCAGCATGCCTGCTACACTCCCTACATACCTGCTACACTCCCTGCATGTCTGCTACACTCCCTACATGTCTGCTACACTCCCAGCATGTCTCCTACACTCCATCAAACTATGTAATTAAACTAACTTCCCCTATCACGAGCCTTTTCCATCCTATGGAGAGGGAGCATGGACACGGGTCCTAAGAAGCAAGATCACCACCCATCTAGAAACCCATCAGTTACACAACCCAGGGCAACATGGGTTTAGAACAGGTCCGCTCCGGCGCTGTCTCAACAATAGGACACTACGACAAGTCCTAAATGCACTAGAAGACAAAAAGAATGCAGATGTAATATATACAGACTTTGCAAAAGCCTTCGACAAGTGTGACCATGGCGTAATAGCGCACAAAATGCGTGCTAAAGGAATAACAGGAAAAGTCGTCGATGCATCTATAATTTCCTCACTAACAAAACACAGAGAGTAGTCAGTCAACAGAGTAAAGTCCGAGGCAGCTACGGTGAAAAGCTCTTTTCATCTAGGCCACCAGACTCGCTCCCATCCGTTTTCTCCTCATCCTCATATCCGACATAGACAAGATGTCACCACACGCACCGTGGCTTCCAGTTGCAGATACACCCGAATCTGCATGACAGTGTCTTCCATTGCAGACACTGCAAGGCGCAGGCGGACATCAACCAAATCTTTCATGGGCTGCGAAACAATAAAGTTCAATGATGAAAATTTTCAATTACTCTATGGTAAACATGAGGAAATTAAATCCTCATCAGAGTACAAAACA